ATAGTCTAGATTCAATTGATAGATAAGTAAAACGCGGCATCAGGAGTAAATCATAAAAGAGAGATACTATAAGGATAACAAAAGCAGTTATGCATACAGAAATGAAAAAATTCCAAAGAATGCTACCTTTATTTTTGATTCATGAACCTCCTGTTGAAGTTTCTTCAGAATCTCAACGGCCTTGTAAGTTTCGTGACTTTGAACCTGGTATCGGTTACGAAAAGCCTCAGATTCTGATTCCGCTTTACTGATATCGTTTTCAAGGCGAAGCTAAAACAGTTCATTCTACAGCAGCAAACCAATAGACGAAAGAGGCACTATGAAAAAATTATCATTCAGAAATACTTTTTGAGATAGACATACAATAATGAAGTGGCTAAGAAAACACAATTTGGCAAGTATCACCTTCCGTTGAGAAGAATGAGTGAATGTATTGTCAGCGTATTTATTAAGCAATTTTGATGTCTTAATCATCCATCTAACAGAAACATGTTTATTTCTTCTTCTGTCTCAAATATCATCCATCAAGTATCGCTCCTTTTTCCATCGTCTCTTACGAGTCATTCATCCTATACTCAGAAGATAGACATCAGGATGAAACGAACTGATCACACTGTCTTCGCGAACTAATGTACAGAACTCAGGATTAATCAAACAAAGAGTAGCATGAGTAATCAATTAGCTGCTGAGCAGTACGATGAATGAGCATACGATTCTAGGTAGCTATAAAGACGGGGTTGGAATAATTTACTTAGATCCCTTAAACAGGCCGGTAATCAGGGACTAATCGCGCCATATGCAACACGCGCGCCATATGTTGTGGTTTCGAGCCTTCTCACTTAAAACATGGCCTTCCAAGCTAATGATATAGTCATCCTACCGTTACTCTGGACGACCATCAAGCGGCCTAATCCGCCCGTGAGGATACTAATAGACGCTCATTTAACGGCCGTGATCCGAGTTACGTACACGGCTCATTGCAGCATGCTCTTTCTTCTTTCGAGAGAACAACCACTATCTGATCATTGAGTTGTGGATATGGTTGCGACATGAGATTACCAATGGAATAATAAGTTTATATACTAATAAACAGTGAAGAAGATGAAGATCCAAGTGTTATCTAACTGTCGAGAACAAACGTACGAAAGCAAACGACAAGAGTAAGAAGTAGTCATTCAAGAGAACAAAGTATAGCAGAATGTGTTCTTTTTGCTGCGTATGACGACGGCAACTACAGGCGTAGGTCTAATTGCGAGATTCAAACGTTGTGATTACACGGTTCGCTACGATGGTCATGACGGTCTGGTGAGCATGAAACAGTCGACTAATCAGTGGCAAAGGAAAATATGTTTATAACCTTAATCTAATTCTTTCTGAAAAAAGAATTCAGAAGAAACAGAAAAAACCAGAATTGGAGGTCAAATATATATAAATTCTGAAAGGAAAGAGCAAAAGAAAGATGAGACACCTTTGGGCTAAACAGAATTCCCATGATCTCAGCTTTTCGCAAACGCTTCGAATGTCTCATATCGCAAGTCATGGAACAGAAGATTGTCGACCTATTTGATTCATGACAGTTTGTCTCCCACGAAGAATATTTTAACATATTTTATGAAGATCAGTACACAGGACAAAAAATCGACGCTTTATCATCTGGCGCCATGAAACAAATTTTGCTTTCGTCATCAATTTAGTTGAATTCGAATGAAGAAACAAAGATTCATGGTGGAAAAGCTATCTGCCGTGCAGGGCCCTTTCTTCGCTTCAGGCAATTCAATAGTTTTTAACATTAGTGCGGAATATATAAAGGATGCTGATAATATTATGGAGCGTAATCTGTAAGGACCATCTGAATAATGAGGCAGTTATAGGAGCAGTATATCCATGATGTGCCACCGTCAGTCCTGCACACAAGTGGCAAAACTTCTATCCTGCGAGTCAATCGACCTGTTCCACGCCCGGTAAGGTTCGGTGTTCGAGTGACTAAAGCTTGCAAGGAATCCCCGATGAATGGCCACCATATGGTAAATAGAGCCGGACTTCCTTAGTTGTTTGCACGTTCAGCTGCAGACACTAGCAGAGGAAGAAACATTAAAACAACTAATAGAGGAAAGGTCAGGGATTGCCTGAGACATACTTGGCCTCGGCGAGACACGACGGCCAAGAGAGATGAATGATATGTGGAAAGATCATAGTTCGCTTTGGCTAGGAAGAGGAGAGGGCGTAAACAACATGGGAGGAATCGGATTTCTAGTGAGCAAAAGCTGGTACTTTAAACTCATCTTCTGCCATGTGCAATCACCATGACTGCATTGCTGTGCCTCTAGGAAGAGAACCATGGAAATAGTTTAAACCCATGTTCCCCAGCAGATGAGGAAAAAATGAAAAGATTCTAGCAAGAGCTAGAACAGGCATTGGCTCCAAAGTAAATATATGTAATCGTCATGGCAGATTTCAATGCCAAGTTCAGACGAAAAAGGACGACACCCGAGCGAAATGAGTGAGGAGATTGGCCCGTGACCATAGCAGAAACGAACAATGGGAGGTGGGAATGGATCTCGCAAAAAGCAGCTACGAAGTATATGGTCGACTTTGCCCTGTTCAATAAACGCCCTATGATCTGAGACAGTAGTTTTGACATCATTTAACACTGGCAATGACCACAGATTGGTGCGGGCCAAGTAACGAGGAGAAGATCGAGAGGAAGTCACTGAAGACTGCAAATCTCAGACAAAGACCAAACGTGGTCAAAGCGGCGGAACTCCAAGTGCACATTTAAAGCGAAGGATGGAGCCTGTAAAGCAGCTGTGACGATGACTACGAGAATTTCACCGAGAAACTGGAGGCACTGCGCACAGTCGGCGGAGGTCGTAGCATCAGACAGGAAAAAAAGGTTCTTAAAAGAGACAGAGTTTTCTAGAGATAAGGAGAAAGATGAAGAGATGGAACGTCAACAGTTGAGTACGGTCTTTTCTGTAAGGTGATTAGATTAAAACTGAAGGAAGAAAAACGAAGACTTCGAGACCCCTTAATTGCGAAAATTAGGGAAAACAGCTGAGGACTACATAAGCCTCAGGAGAGAGTCAGCGCCTTACCAACAGACCACGACGACGTTGAAGAACGGGAATAACGCATTAACATCTGACAAAACTAAGTGTAATTTTTCTGTAAGAACTTTAACAACCGGCTCTCTGCGTCAAAGACACGCCCCCACAATCATTAACAGCCAGGAAAAGTGCATTCCCGATCTTCATAAGCGAAGATCGTTAAATCACGCAAAAAATGAAGGAAGGAAGATTCCAACGGTGAGTCGGTTTGACAAATGAAATAATTAGAGCACTTGATAAGAAGATGTGGAGGGCACTAGCGAAAAGGTTCACTACCTGACAATAGAAAAGATACCACAAAGCTGGCAAGTATAAAAACAATCGTTGTTACAGGAAGGCGAGAAAGACCTGATAAATTATTACCTAACCTGCCTGGTCTCACAAGCTTATAAGCTGTTCACTAAGATCCAATAGTCTGTCAGCAGGTTTGGACGAACAGCCGGGTTCGGAAGGAACTACAGCACAATGGATAACATATTTACCTTAAATATACTCCTTGCGCGCGTAAGGGAATTCTAGCTCCTCTTTGAATAGCCTTCGTAAAGTACAAGAAAGTGTTCGACATTGTCGAGTACACCGCACTGCAGAATTAAATGGCAGAACATGACATCGACGCCCGTTACATCAATCTGCTGAAGGAAGAAAACTCTAGAAAAACGTCACGCCGTTGGACACACCCTCTGGATTCCCATAGAAAAGGGCCTGAAACAAGTGAATATCATCTCCGCCAAAGTCTTCAAAATCCGCTTGCTTGAAAATACTGTTCTGGAGTTTGAACTGGAAGGTAGGTGGGATTAACATCAACGGATGAACAGCTCAGCCACGTATAGTTCGCTGCCGACGTGGTGTTATTTGCGAGAAGCGCAGTGAGCTACAAGACATGCTGCAAAAGCTCGAGAGAAAAAGTGAAGAAATCAGGCTGCAAATTAATCAGTTAAATACGAAGATCTTATGAACAGATGCCTCGCCGAAGACTCGGGTAATATCAAACAGTAACATATCGAAGAAATCGACAAACGTATTTACACATTTATCTGGGCCAAGAGATCAACATGATCAGGCTGAAGAGGTTCAACAAAGAAAGAGGGCCGAATGACAAGCGTTTCATTTCATCAAAGACCTCCTTATCAGCAACATCAGGAAAGAATTCCGTGAAAATCTCTTCAATTCTACCATCCTGTTGGCAATGCTGTATGACTTGAGACGTGATCATTCATTAAGGCAGAAAAGCGTCAGCTATCCGTTACCGATCGAGCCATGGAAAGAAGAATGTGGTGAATCACTCGTCGTGACTAGATCTACAACAAATCAGATAGCAGACGAGAGTGAAGGACGTCGTCGGGAAAAGCAGAAGCTAAGGTTGGCGTAGCTCGGTTAATTGACAAAGAAGGTCAGCGATGATAGTCATTAAGCATGCCGCTTAGATGATTACACTGAGGAAGTTACCGCCGTCTTTCTGGACTCACAGCAAGATTTTTGAAAGGCCAATGAAGCTCGCCTCAAGGGTAAAATGACCCTCAGTTAAATGATTGAACATTTCCAATGTTGCTGAATACGCAGCTGTACGTGGTATTCGTTCATGTGAATCACGTATCCGATAACTGCACTTACCCTCTGCAGAGTTGCCTCAAGTACTGAATGTCGAGAAGCACATCCAATCTATTTGGGTATGTTACAATATCTGCTAGAATTCAGCTCGATAGGACTTTTATCATCCAACGACAACCTGTAACTACCGAAACAGTAACAAACTTTGCAATAATGCTGTTCTACGTTGTGTGTAACAGTTTCTTCAGTGTACTTTGTGCGCCATTCTACTGTGACAACTGTGCAATCAGTTTTGATCAAATCTGTGTCCTGTTTCCGTTTCGATGTAGTATCTCAACGTTAATACATGATCGACTCTGAGTGAACGCCATTCCAAAATGGACAGAAATTCTAGGACAGAACAAGAAAAAAATGGTGATGCAAAATTAAAATTATATATTATACCAACAACTTGCGAAAACGATCGTTTACTATATGATACACTGTTGCTTTGGTCTTAGTCTGTTCCGCACAGTATAGAGACACGGTGTGAAAAAATTCTTTGAGAATAATCTGACTAAGACGGAAGGACTGAGGGGATGTTAATGTGTTAATTCTCAAAGCATAGTGAAATTTTATCATCATAATGTGTACCAGTAAAGGAATGATAAAGACTAATGGACAAGATAAACGGTGACATCACAGCCTTTGCACTTTTCGATGATTAAAAATGAGAAATCCGACAAAATTAATTGTGGCAAGATTTGTCTACTGTTTTCTTAACGGAAGATAACAAAGGTTAATTCGTTAAATGTTAAATGCTAGTTAAATACCTTCTCGTCCATCAACTGTTCAATCCGTTGCCTCCCAGACTCAAGCTGATTATTCATATCTTCGATATTTTCTTCCGAAGCACGCAACCGCGTTTCCAATTGGTTTGCAAACTTCTCCAATTCGATGTACTAAAAGTAGACTTGACACACACGCAAAAAAATAAAATGAAAATGACGCAGTCAAACAATGAACAATAGTTGTATACTGTCTCCAGAAGATGGCATCAAGCCATACATC